CCCCCCCCCCCCCCCCCCCCCCCCCCTTAATACTTATCAAGAGGACAAAATCGAGGGCACCCGGGTGGCTCAGTAGGTTAAATATCTGCCTTTGGCTCAGGTTGTGATCCCAGGGTCCTGGAGTCGAGTACTGCATGGGGCACACTGCTCAGAGGGAAGTCTGCTTCTCTCTCTGCCTCCTCTCTCTCCATTTCCCAGAATAAATAAAATCTTAAAAAACAAAACAAGAAAAAAAAAAACAAAACGGGCACCTGGGTGGCTCAGTGGGTTAAAGCCCCTGCCTTCAGCTCAGGTCATTATCTCAGGGTCCTGGGATGGAGCCCCATATCGGGCTCTCTGCTCAGTGGGGAGCCTGATTCCCTTCCTCTCTCTCTGCCTGCCTCTCTGCCTACTTGTGATCTCTGTCTGTTAAATAAATAAAATCTTTAAAAAATAATAATTTAAAAATAAAAAATAAAAGACAAAACTGAGTGGTCATATCAAATATGGAAGAGTGAGGCATCATTATTCTCAAAATTAGCTTTCTAGTCTCAAGTACGTTTTTTAAAAAAAAGATTTTGTTTATTTAGTTGAGAGGGAGAACATGATAGAGCACAAGCAGTGGGAGGAGGAAGATGGAGAAGCAGACTCCCCACCCAGCAGGGAGCTGGACTGAGTCTTGATCCCAAGACCCTGGGATCATGACCTGAACTGAAGGCAGACACTCAGCCAACTGAGCCGCCCAGGCACCCTCAAGTATACTTTCCTGTTGTTTGTGGTATATTTATATTTATGACTGAGACTTAGTAAAACCCTGTCTTAGATGAATAGTTTATAAAGTTTTTTCAAATTACTTTTGGGGGGATTCAGTTGACATAGGCATTTGCTGAAAAAGATTTCTTGTTAAGAAAGGCCATTTTTTGTATGTACAACGAGTTTTTCAGCTGCCACATGGGGGCCTTATTTGATAATGCTTTTTCTTAATTATCCTGAGCAATATGTCCAGCGTTTTCCTTCTTTCTCTAGAAGACAAATCTGGAACTAATTAATTGTATCCACTATAAAGCATAATACTATTATAAAGCCACATGAGTTTTCACACTATTTTTCCCACTCTTTCCGGCACCAGTGGCAGTTCTGTATTTCATTTTTCTGAGCATTTGAACCAAGGCTATTTGGAGATATAAAGAGACTCCCAAGAAAAATAATGAAAATAGTAGGTGCCTAACTTTAAATATAAGAATGCTGTAGAACTGAGTATTTATTCACCATTTTCCCAACCTCCTCTTTCTCCCCATCTAGAAAGACAATATTACAATTCTTAAACATCCTCCATCTAAATATCCTCAGATCTAAAATGCTATAAGCAAGAGAGATTACTAAACCATTGCTTAGTTTAATCCCAAAGAAGTGGCCTAAGCATGCCCAAACACAGGAGCACGACAGAAAAAATGGATAAATGTATTTTTTTAAATCCACAAACTGAGAGAAAGGGATGTGAAGACAGAGCAAAGGTTAGACAGGAGAGAAGACACTACAGTGCTGGCTTTGAAGATGGAGGGAGGGGGCCAGGAGCCAAGGAGCCCAGGGGGCCTGTGGAAGCTGGAAAAACAGCCCTCACAAACCCATGCCCTGGTAGTAATAGTGGAGACCCATGGGCCCAATCAGGCATGGAAGCAAGAACACAGAGAAAACTCGACAGGGGTAGCCCGGAAACACGGACTCTGTGCTGCTTGTGTGTTCCTGTGGAGGCCTCAGCCGCCTAGGGAGGACCAGCTACGTTTCATCTTCATAAAGCCTTGATATGGATGGAAGCACAGTTCAAGGCTGGAGCGTGTTGAGGGGATGAGAGGACACCCGAAAATGGAAGATAACGAGTGAAATACTTAAAGTCCATTGGCAGAATGTGCCAAAGGCAAACCCAGCCTTTTTTCTCCTCAGAAAACATCAGAAGAAGGGCCCCCGCAGGAAGGCGAGACTACCACAATTGTCTCAGGGTTTCCACATCCTGCTCAGGACCTCCTGCAAGGAAGCAGAGACTACTTCCACACGCGGCTTATGAGACTCGGTCTCTGGACTGTTTTCATTTGCCACATGAGCCAGTCCTCAAAACTATTTATTGGATGAATACAATAAAAGAGCAACCCAACAAGTGAATAAATAGACATGTTAAAAAGAACCAAATGTTGTCACAAAATTCACCATTTTCTTAACATGGAGGTGCAGAGCTGGCAGTGAGATGGAGATTAGAAAAGATCCCTTTTTTCTTTTAATCTCCCTAGGAAGGACCTGAATAAACATATCCCTCCCTACAGTCAGACTTACTGGCAGGTGTCCTTGGGCCCAGAATAGAAAGGTATGGCAGAGCTCTGTTGCTGCTGCTGTAATTGGATTGCAGGCAAGCACCCCCAGCGCCTCTCCCAGCACATTAGAAATCTGAGGGGGTGGGTGCTAATAACCCATAATCAGTGTTGCATTTGCCAACAGCCAAAAGAAAAATGAACCTTTAATTGAGCGAGACTTGGCATCAGTCAGTGATGGGACTTTAGTCAGGCAAAACCGACAGATTACTGAGTCAGACATCCAACTGTGAGAATTGTTCTCTACTGGGGTGAAGAATGCAAAAATGTGAATAAATGGCATATCTTACCCACCCAGGACCATAACTCACTGTGG